ATATGCATGCCACAGAACACATTGCGGCAGAGTTACCTCTCTGCTTACAGCTCTGGCAATACATGGTCTTGCATATGGTGTTTTGCCCTGAAAGCTTGAAAAGCAGCTTGGCATCAATTGTTAGTGTTTAGTAACAAAAGTATCGCATACGTACCCGCAGCGTACATTTAAATATATATAAACACAAACAGGAGATATACCAGGAGGCCTTTTCAAGGCATTGCCGTTGTTATGAAAGCCAGCAAGAAGTAGATGAGGAGTTTCCAAGGCTGTAGATGGTGCACTCCGCTGAAGGCAACACGAATTGTTGTGGGGTATTAATCTGGAGCATCACCTGGAACTAGTCTTAATATCGTGCATTTGGAATTTGAGGACATCAGTTTGTACTCCATCGGCGTTTTTCCAAGTCGTCCGGTCAGGACAAGATTTGGCAGTCCCTTGATGTCATCGTTGACTGTGTGTTATTGGAATAAACATTATTTGTTATATTTGGTTTTGAACTGAGACGTACGCAGTGTTGGCATGTTAGCTTAATTATAACCAATTAAAGAATATTAATTGTTTTCCGCAATTGTAAAATTTTGATCTGACTATTAGTTTAAAACACAAATAATGTACAGCTCGATGCCCTTGTCGACTGTTGTCCACAATGCACCGATGTTGTAACTTTTTTTATATTAGCGACGATCGACTTTACTCAAATAATGTACTTAAAATATGAAGTAAGTAACTACATTTTTTGCAATGTCGTTTACATTTTTGTTTAATGTGTTAATTGGTGTTAAATGATGTTTTCCTATAACATTTAGTCAATTAAATAATACAATTCAAAACAGAAAATCTGGACTGCATTTTAGTACATAAAGCATATATAATAAGTGAATACGGTCCCAACTTACGATATGGGGCCAGGTAGACGTATCTTTTCATTGGCCGATAATCACCGAGCACGAACTCTATATTTTCATTTATTGTTGTGTCCTGAAATAACAGTTAATTAGACGATTTTACGAAATAAAATGTGTTTTGGAAGCCAAACGTAACCTGACGACTACAATGTTAACTTATTGTGCATACCTGAACTCTGTCGGCATACCAAATTAGCACCTCTCTTGAAAATGTCGTTTCCCGTTCAATTCTTTCAGCCAAGCCAACGCCCACTGGGATCGACGAGTCTGTAACAAAAACATCTTTATTGGGCTTTACAATCCACGGGCAAGCAATATAAAATCCAAATTATAATTAATATATCATTGTCAGCTCATGCAATATTAGACTGCCCCTCAAACAAATGATCCCCCATAAAAATGAAATTAACATAAGGGCGGTGTAGGGCCTGCTATATCAGTTGCCCTTAAACAACCTTGCACGTTAATCCATTATAGTAGTTAAATTATGGTGTAACATTCGGACTGGAAACTGGGCACCTTTATGGGCTGCCGTTTGAACATTTCTACAATTGGCATATCTACTATATAAACTTCATGCATTTCTGACTCACCAATGATAGTCTACTTTTAAGTTTATAGGGCTAAAATTTAAGGTAGGGGAATCAAACGTATACATAATGAATGGTGGTCAAACATATGTATTATTTTTGAAGATAGACAATTTTCAACATGCCTAACTAAATGACTCCGCCATGGCAACTAGCGCACAGAATGCACCGAATGCAAAATAAATCAATAACTTTCTGTTGCATAAATGTAAATATAGAACAACATATATCCCAATGACATAAATAGTGTTTAAGTGAAAAACGTGTATGTCTACCGGCTGTTGTTTCGCCTTTTTTCTGGACAATTATTGCTGACGGCGATTTAGTTTTATCGACGGGATAGGCGACGATGATTCCCTTTCCACAATTGGGAGATCCACCGACAAATGCATATTCTCTGTCTGTAAAGGGGCAAAGAAAATCATTATGCGAACCGAATAAATAAAACAATAAGTTAACCCAAAACAAAATCGGCTACATAAAAGCAATGTCCTCTTTAAAAGTTAATATTTATAGGTAGATAAATAAATGATTTAGATGTCTTCGGAAGACGGACTATGTGAAGAGAGGTGCTCACCTGTTAATAACTGATAGCATGGCTCCCCTATTTCACAGGGATGGGAGGTAGATCCCTCTCGAAGTGCCAAATTCCCATGAAAGATCGACTGCATTATAATAAAGTGTCACGTAACGTAGTAAGATAATTATCAGCGTACAAAGTCGAAAGAATGCGCGGCTTACTTGTGGCTTCCGTAGGCCAATAAAAGGCACAGTAAAGGCCGTGTTCGGCGCTAAATGCAAAACGGCCACAGGGCCGTCTGCAATAAAAAGCAAAATGATTCAGATTAGACAGTCATCATGTTCGTTTATTTTTGATCAAAATCAGAATGCCGGAAAAAAAGGCGGGATAGTGACAATGATTTTAATTCGCCATTTTGATATCCGGTGAAAAATGCATGATCTCTGTCTCTAAAGCACCAAAGAGAATCAGCCTGTCAACCGAACAAATAAAGAAATAAACAAACACATGACATACACAGCGAATAAAAAATGACTTTTTGAAAAGTTTCCATTTAGGGAAACATAACTAAACGCTCCAAATATCTTAAGAGGTCGGAGTATAAGAAGTAATGTGCTCATGTGTTAATAACTGATAACATAGCTCACCTGATTCACAGGACGAGGAGGTAGATCCCTCTTGAATTCCGTCATCCGCATGCAAATCCGACTGCAATAGTATAGTGTCACATAACACAGTTTGATAATTTTTAGCGCAACTATTCAAAATAATGTACGGCTTACCTGCGACATCTGTATGTCAATAAAAGGCAAATCAACGGTTGAGTTCGGCGCTAACTGCAAAGCGGACTCATCGGCGCCTGTAATGAAAAAAAAACTGTGTATTTTTTTCTGACCGTAATCGGATACCACAAGCCAAATATTAAAGCATTATTTTGACTTTAACCTACCGAGCACGCACGCAAAAAGGACAGGAAGAATAGTGGAGATGAGCATGCCTGCTAAAAACAAAGCAATCGGGAAGTAAGTCAAGAAGGTATATTTACGTATAGATTAATATGAGCCAATTTTGGCAGAGTAGATTACGGTTGCAGCCTTCTTTGAAATGCAAACTGTGCGGGTGCAGGCGAATTCTACGTGTATTTATATGCGCATGTGCGACCTACGACGATCGAAGGTTACAAACCAAGGCACCATTTTGGCGTCTATGGGTACACTGCGTTCTAGCTGATCATCGATAGGTATAAGTAAAACGGGTCTGAAAAAGAGGAAAATGCGAATATCAGAATATTGGCACAACCGTTTTCTATATAAGGAGCGTTATCACTACAAGTATTCTACTTAAAAATTGTTATTCTACTTGAGGAACATTTTTGTGAAGAAGGAGTGCAGGAATATGGCTTCCGCTTGAGGACTGACAAGCGAAAATTCTTCTAGGACTCCATTAAGTACCTCGGATTCCTTTTGACGTCACTGCTGGGGCCATCTAACAGATGCCTGCGCCCAAGACTAAATCGCAACTTCGTCCGTTCCTAGGCCTGATTCGTTTCCATAGCGCCTTCCCACCATAGTCTGCACATTGTAGACTGAAATCTGTCAGGGCTAATGCAATGGCTAATCAGGCTCAAAATTATTCGATAATTAGAAATATTTTTTACAACCCTATTATGCTCTCCCTTCAAGCAAAAAATATGGAGATGACGTGATTCTCTATCAAATGACAGAAAGACAGCCTATTTCCCTTCGTGATTTCTCTAAAATAGATTCGGCTTTGTAAGACCATCGAAAATCAATGGGTACATGCATGCTACCTACGCAGACATTTGTAACCGAGAACGGTTTCTATATGAGATTGGAAAGCAGTGTATTCAAAAACCGACATCCTGCCAAGTCCTAAATATTATAGGATTATACCGCAGGCTAATCCTTATTAAAACCGCGCCTAAGTAATCCTTCCCCTTCCTAATCAAAACGCATTACAGAATTTCAGTCAACATTTCATGCGATCGGTAAATCAGTGTACGCGGATGCATTGCAGTGATAATTATGTGTCTAAATTTTTCAACAGTATACCAAATGTTTAATGTGACAAGCGCTTAGGCTCAAATCGCCTCCTTACTTCTGTCGACTATTTACAAATGTGTTGACTGCAATATGATTTTAAAAGCATATTGAACTCGACGGAGAGCACATGCGTGCGCAATATGTTTAGGAATCCAGTTTTGTGGGAATTAATTATTTCAATTGCAATCATGTCCATCACTTCCTAATTAGATTTTTTTTCTTGTACAGGCAAAATCCTAAAAGTCGCCTTTATATTGCCATAATAGATTCTAAATCACAATGATGTCCACCATGTGTCCGGCATCAGTGTGAGCCCATGGACAAAAACACGTATGTCACTTATTTTATAGTAATAGTAGACTTGCGCTATAATCCGGCACTTCCGGCACTGCCTTGAGGGCAGGGAATTCACTGTGTTCACGAATCACAAGTTCATTTTGTTCGCTCTCATGCCCAAGTCTGATAAGCTCAACCATCGGCAAATTTTCCAACTGGACTACAACTCACAATTTACCTCATACATCCGCCACATCGTCGGGTCATGCAATGCGGTGGCTGACGCACTGTCCAGGCCCTCCATCGCACATCTCCATCTTTTTTCCCGGGATAGACCTAGCTGAGATGGCTGTCGAACAAAGGCGTGATGGTTCTCCCTGTGACGATGGCGTTTCCGAATTCCAACTTCAGGAACTACCACTGACAACTGACAACGGCATCATTTTATGCGACGTATCCACCACTTCCCATCATCCATTTGTGCCACCATCCCTCCGCCGCAAACCTTTCTCCTCCCTGCACAATTTACTTCACCCTGGGAGTCGAGCAACCGACAAGCTGGTTTCCGACCGCTTCGTCTGGTCTGGGATGCACAAGGCATTCGAATCATGGACACGGTCTTTGTATCGCCTGTCAACGTATTATGATCCAACGGCACAACAAAGCACCCACTGGCACCTACCCTACTCTGGACACACGATCAAGTCATGTACAAATGGACATCGTCGGCCCCTTGCCTCTGTTCAGTGGCTGTTGCTATCTCTTTTCCTTCGTGGGTCGATCCACGCTGTGGCCGGCAGCTATTCGCTTGCCTGATGTCGCTGCTCCAACGGTCGTCAAGGCTTTCCTCAGTCGTTGGGTTGGCATTTTCAGTGCTTCCTCCACTATCACGACTGACTGTGGTGCCCAGCTAGAGTCTAACTTATTTCAGTCTCTCCTCTCCTTTTTAGGCTGTACCCGCAGCCGGACGACAGTTTATCAGCCAGCTACTAACGGGATGGTCGAGCGACTTCATCGCCAGCTGAAGGCCTCCCTAGAAGCCGCGACCGATTCGGAGAACTGGACGGACCACATTCCCCTGGTCCTCTTGGGTATCCGTCCCGCTCTCAAGCCGGACCTTGACGGTTACGCAGCTGATCTGGTGTTCGACGCCACCGTTCGACTGCCTGGTGAGATGATCTTGCCAACCCTACGAGGTGCAGTTGAGGATCTTACCAACCTCCTGCATTGCCTTCGGCAGTTCCTGCGGACACTTCCCCGCTTCCGCCCAGGCCATCAGTTTCCGAGTCGGTATGTAGGTTTGCAGCACTTTGCTCTATTTATTTTGATCGCATCGTTTAATTTCGTCATTATGGATGAGCATACGTGTGGACACTGGTGCACCATTGCTCATTATCTGAACAGTAACCTTGGAAATGTCAGATGGGGCCAATATGCGATGATTAGCATGCAGTAGAATGTAGGCATTTTGAAATGAAAATGCAACGACTGCGGAAGATGTCCGTATACGTCCTCATATATCATTTCCTCATCATCTGCGTTTGCAACTTCACCTAAAAATTTTTTTATCAGTTTGTTTTATGTTTCCCAATGTTCGTAACACGAAGTTAATACTTCGTGTTGGCTCATTTTTCCCAGTCCGCGCAACGATGTGTATATGGGGATCTGTGCTTGTGGAGAATCTAAAACTTTGCCGTATTGGTTTAGAACCCAAATCTCAAACATCGAAGGATGACGTAAGCTTTAAATTATTCGATACGTTGTATGCTTAGCGTGTGAAATTATGAAACATTTATTTTTGTTTGATGATCAGTTGGTTTTGTATTTCATAATTTTCCAAATACGAAGTTGATTCTTCATGCTGCTTCATTTTCCCCAGTCCGCTCAACGATGTTTATCGACGTGTAGTGCAATGTGGTTAACTCGATTTATGCCTTTTCCACATAATGGCTACATATTCGGATCTCTTCTTCAGAATAATCTAGAAATATGCCCTTATTGGCTTATAACCCAAATCTCATAAATCAAAGGATGGCGTAAATTTCGGAGTATTCGATTGGTTTTGTGCTTCGCGTGTGTTATTTTGTGAAGTTTACTATTTCTTGGCTCGTCATGGAAAATGATGCAAGGCAAGTGGTCATAACATGAATAGGCGAGGAATGTAACAGATTTACAAGCAACCGTGAGTAAACAATGCACCCATGAACGACCTATGCAGTTTAATTGACAAAAAATTTTGAAAATTTTGCTTTCTGCAGGAGGTAACATATTATGAATTAGTCTGAATAAAATAAATGAATATTGGCAAACGCAGTGATATGTTGACTTGAAAAATCTTAAATTCACTGTTAACACCCACGGCCCACAAATTGCGCCAGAAAAGAAGAAGACGAAATCTAAAGGAACCGCATAACTGAATTCCGGTTTCCTTTGAGTAAAAATGGTCTTCTCAAAATTGATGTTTCGAGCTCCTGAAAGTGCAATGGGATGATCGGAGACTGCATGATAAAATCAGAATCATACTATTGTCAACTGCAACAGTGAGGCAAGGGACCTTCTGCGGAAAATAGATAAGAAGTTAAATGTTCCGATAACCTCGACTGCCGAGTCTTGCTTATATGTCAGCATCCACAAACAGCAGATTCTGCATATTTAAGTAAAGCCTATTTCCCGTTTGCCTGTAACGTGCTGACATCTTGAGGTGGCGAAGAAGTGTGACTCACGATTTTGCCGTAGGTGCAGTCGAGGCAATGACGTAGTCTGCTCTTAAAGGGTATCGTAAGACGCGCTAACACACCAGATTCGACCAGCGGGGCTTGTTCCTAGCACAAGATCTAGCTGCTAGCAGGCACTGACAACCCTTGCAGCGATATATTTCATTTCCCTTACTTCGCATCTGCCCTTAGTCACGGAGTGACCACACAGCGTATATATGCGATAGATGTATTCAATTTGTTACAAGCTGACCCCATTATGGTAGTAGAGTTGAATGTGGACGCCATGGCTTATGCGTATCGTTAAAGTGCGACTCATGCATTCTGTCCTAGTCGTAGTATGTGCACACAGTCTATCGTTATATGCGCTCACGCTGTCACTACCACCCAGTTCCACACATTTAGTTTTTAAAAATATCTATCGACCTGCGGCAAATTGAGGGCCCTCATTTAAAGTTTTTGGCATCGTATTGCAAATGCTACATCCGTCAGCCCGCTTAGCCCCGCACCCATTTGAGATTGTGCAGCAGAACTCTTTCATGAGCTGTATTATGAGAATGCCACATCCGCAATTAGCTTTTCACCTCCATTGACGGTATGACAGAATTTTGTTCGCAGAAACTGCGTAAAAGTCGATCCAACAGACCACATTTCGAACATATCCCGATCGAGAAATTTTAGCAATGAGCAAGCATCAGTGCGCGGAAATCATGATGGCTTCAGTTGACGTCAAATCATCTTTTTCATTCAGCATGTCGCTGTGTAACCTACAAAAATGCGAATTCCAATCGGTACACGGGGATTTTCATGAGCATATTAATATAATGAGCATTGTCAGACCAACTGTTGTACTCGCTAATGTGATAGAGAGAGAGTCGAATACCCAAAGCCCAATACTTTCATATGCATTTTAGTGTTTGTGTCAACTACGCTGATAACAGCAACAAGATTTAGCATTATATTCCATATAACAGTCATTGCTCAGATTGTCCTCTTGACTGTCACTGGGGGGGTTTGTTTTCGTTCTGTCATCTAGCAGTAAAACCCGGCGTCTGCCTATGTAATAATTTTTGCAGGAAAGTCAGCTGTGACGTCTTGGCTGACAGGGTCTATTCAAGTTTTAAAAGACGCTATCATTGACGAATACAAGGAGCCTTCATAAGTACTACTCTTATGTCACATAGAACAAAGGGATCTCATGGGGCAATTAGGATAGTACCATCTGTTCTTTAGGCAGTTTGCTTGGAAGCATGTGAATATTTTCGAGTAGGCTTAGGTCTTAAACGATCCAGGCATTTGACGGGAAATGCAAACTGTGGCAGCAGCAAAGCAGTTTTCGTTATTAAATATTGGACTGATATCTCGGACTCTAGTTATTATGTGTGTCAACCATCTGTAGTGTTATGCCATTTATGCGGCGAAAATCGCTGTTACGTGGTGGGGTTCCATCGAAACTACCGCCACCCTCCCAATGATTCGGACAATTTGAGCTTTTGATTCCACGTCACGATATTATTCCCAATGCCTGTTCGGCTGATTTTGCCCCATTAAAGTCGATATAGAATGTGAAACATTCATCGTCAACATGCCTTTGCGAGCGATCGCTGTGGCAAAAAACGGTCTCCATCCTTGTGTACTTCTCTCTTTGAGACGTTATGTCGCCTCTCCGACCCGTCTGATGAAACTCTATAAATTGTGACCTGGGTTGTGATTATTTCTAGTCTGTATACAGTGAATGATCGATCTCACGAAATGTTGCCTGAAAATTCTGAAATGCGTTTTCGATTTGGCAAGGATTACTTGGTACCGGTTGTAATAATGATTAGCTCGCGGTATAATTCCATGATATTGCTGACTCGGCAGGATGTCGACTTTTAAATGCACTTCCTTTCAATCTCCTATAGAAATCGTATTCGGTAAAAATGACTACTTATAGCATGCATTTTCCCATTAATTTTCAATGGCCTTGGTAATTCAAATATATCTTACAGAAACTGTAAACAAAAATATGCCTTCTTTCAGTCGTTTGATAGAGAATCACGTCCTCTTTATATTTTCTACTTAAGGAAGAATTACCATTAGGTTTTAAAAATGTTTCTAATAAGCATATTTTTTAAAGCCGCTCAATGTCCATTTAAATATCATCGTACATGGCCGATAATGCATCTCATCATGAAATGTAAAACATAGTCCGCATCCATTGCAAACTGTTAGGGACTTTGAATGATATCTTTTTAATGGCATGGAAAAACAGGGGATTTTAGTTACGCGGATAGCATGCATCCTGTACACAGAAATTACCAGGCCCTAGTGTAGTGAAGGATCAGGCTGGAAATATTTCGGCAATTAGAAGCTTTTAAAACCTAGATATAATACTTCCTTGAGTATGCAATATAAAGAAAACGTGATTCTCTATTAATTGACAGAAATACGCCTATTTATCTTTTCAGTCGTTTGATAGGGCGAGAGCTTTCAAATGTGCTATTCGGTGATTATTATGACAGCAACAGACGGGAGTTTTGTTAGTTGCATGTCATACACCATTTGGATGATTTTCTCACTGCCAAAGGCAAACGTTCGACATCCTTTACTTTGTATGTCAACAGGATGCCCGGAGAGAGGCTATTAAGCAGGCGCAGACAGTCTGATTTTCTAAACCCCACCCCTCAGAAATAAAAATCGCGTTATCTACGCGTCGTCGTCAAAACGCAGGTTCGTGTTGGTGAAAAGAACCTTTTATTACTTTCGAAGGAATAATTTTGAAACTAGACTGTATAATGGAGTATCTGTGACCTCCTTGCATTGTCCCCCCCTTAAATTGGAAAGCGGATTTTTGGATGTATGTGAAGTATCTGCTTTAATTCTCCGTTTAGAGTTTTCGCCGGCGATTAGCTAATGCGATCGCTGGGTTTTTGGATTTTGTTCAGTGCATAGAGCGGATATCGTTTTCCGTTGGTTGCGTATGTCCCCATTTGTCTCGCAATATTATACTACAGCTCCCCTCTTGTCATTTGTTGCTTACATGCAGCCATGGTGCGGTCCACTATTCAACTAACAAAGAATGCCGTCTCTACACTCTGACACGGTGCACAGCCGGCTTTTGAAGAAGGAGACATGATTGCTAGGGCAAAAGTTTTATTGACCTGACGTTTCGGATTCCTGCTCGAACCCATCATCAGAGACAAAAACATATACGTGTTGGACAACCTTTATTGTTTTGGAAGTGCGCACACAAAGGCTCTGTAGGCAGTCGCCGCGAGCTCGCACCAAGCCAGTTGTTGTCTGTGTCCGCCTTCGAGGTGCTGAGACCCAGCGCGTGTGTGCGTCTTTCGCTGTCTCCGCGTCCGCCAGCCAATCAGAGGGGGAACAGCGTTGATTGGCCTGGAGAACTCGCGAGGAGTCTCGCGCGTCCAATCAGCGTATCAACAAGGAGTGTGAAGCGGACAGGAAGGCAGCGTGGGCAAGGAGGCGCTAACTGCCATACGTACACTGAGTGACCGATCTCAGGAAATGTTGGCTGAAATTATAAATGGGTTTTCGAGTAGGAAGGATTACTTAGGCGCGGTTTTAATAAGGATTACCCCGCTGTATAATCCAATAATATTTCTAACCTGGCAGGATGTTGGCTTTTGAATACATTGCTTACCAATCTCCTATAGAACGCGTTCTCGGTAAGATATGACTACTTATGTAGCATGCATTTTTCCATTGAATTTCGATTGTCTTGCAGATTCAAATATATTTTAGGGAAACCACGAACTAAAGTATACTTCCTTTCATTCGTCTGATAGAGAATCACGTAATCTCCATACTTCATACTTGAAGAGGGAGTATAATTACGTTTTAGAAATTATTTTCTTCTTTCCGAATAATTTGGAGCCTGATCAGTCATTGCATTAGCGCTTAGTAATTTAAGCCTACAAGGTGCAAGCGTTATGCGAAAAGAAAATCGCATATTCCGTCAACAAAGTGAATTTACGAACGTACAACAGACTGCAGAATTACTTGACGGCAAAAACGAGGGCTATAACGTTTTCGTTATTTGCCCATAATATTACTCCGAAGGAGTAGGCTTGAGAGTTGCATGCATGATTGCCGTTTCAGACCCCTAAGGAAAGACATGTGACAGGGCGACACAAACTCCCTGGTTAGGAGCGATTCCAGCAACAACAACAACCGGCAGCTTCGGGTCGTAGCTGTGGTAGGAAGGTAGGCATTAGCTGATCAGGCCAAGGAACGTTAGAAGTTGTGACACATTTTTGGGCGCAGACATCCGTTAGATGGCCCGAATGTTCTCAGGATCTGTATGGCGACCAGTGACGTCAAAACGAATCCGAGTTACTTGATGGAGTCGAAGAAGAATTGAAAATTGTCGGACGTCAAGCGGAAGCCATATTGATGCACGCCTTCTTCACGAGTATTTTCCTCAAATACTGTAACAATTTTTAGAAGTATAATTTGCATGATCACGCACAAACAGTTGATGCCACTATTCTGATATTTGTATTTTCCCCTTTTTCAGACCCTTTGAATTCATACCTATGTGATGATCAATTAAAACGCAGTGTACCCACACACGCCGAAATATTATCTTGCTTTCCAACAAGTTATTGTCTAGGACGCACATCTCTTATGACGCACATGCACATTTAAATACAAGGAAAATTCGCCTGAACCAGCGGAGTGTGCATTTCAAAGTAAGTTGTAGTCGTAAACTACTCTGAGAATATAAGCTCAGTTTAACCCATTCGTAAATATACCTTCTTGCCTTTCTTCCTTATTAATTTGGTTTGAGCAAGCATGTTCATCGCCGGTATTCTTCCTGCACTTGTTGCGTTCGTGCTCGGTAGGTTATATGCTCAAATATTGTTCTAATATTTGGTTTTTTATTTTTGCTTTCGGTCGAAAAAGTGACGTTTGTGTTACCTCTCTTAACTCAAAGTTTTTATTTATTACAGGTGCCGATGAGTCCGTTGTGCCTTTAGCGTCGAACTCAACCATCACTTTGCCTTTTATTGAAATACGGCAGCCGCAAGTAAGCTGTGCATTGTTTTGGATTTTTACGGTGACAATTATCTTACTGTGGAATGTGACACTATTATAGTGTGATCGGTCTTGCACGGGAATGTGTTAATTCCAGAGGGATCTACCTTACGTTCTGTGAAGCAGGTGAGGCATGTTATCAGTTATTAGCAAGCGAGCCCCTTATTTCTAATGATTCGACGTCTGAAGGCATTTTGAGCATTAATTTATGCTTCCCTAAAGGACAATTTTTTAAAAGTGCATTGATTTTCATTCCTTGTTTATGTCATGTGTTTGTTTACTTCTTAATTTGTTCGGTTGCCAGGCGGATAACCTTTGGTGCTTTAGCAAAAGAGAAATGGGAACCATCGTCGCCTATCCTGCCCCTTATCCTCTATTCTAATTAAGGTCCAAAATAAACGAATGTGATAACTATCTTATCTGAACGGCATTATTTTCATTGCAGGCTGATCTGTGGTCTTTTATCAATGGCAGTGGTTAAAGTAGCGAGTATTCTTCTGCTGAATCCCTACGTCGAAATTGGGCTATAAAATGTACATTAATTGAACGATCTGGGCCAGCTAATTGAACTATGTATTTGAGATGTTATTCATCAATAAGAAACGTTTTCCAAAAACCTAATTATACTCCCTCTTTAAGTATAAAATAAGAGATGAAGTGACTATCTATTTATCTATCTATCTATGTAGCACATTTGTGCCCAACACATATTTTTGTTTGCTGTATGCCTAGAATATATTTGAATTTGCAAGACCATCGATAATCAATGGAAAAATGCATGCTACGTAAGTAGTCATATCTTACCGAGGACAGTTTTCATAGGAGATTAGAAAGCAGTGCATCCAAAAGCCGACATCCTGCCAAGTGCAAAATATTATCGGATTATACCGCAGAATAATCCATATAAACACCGCACCCAAATAACTCTTCGTAATCGAAAACGCATTTCAGAATTTCAGCTAACATTTCATGAGAACGGTCGCTCAGTGTATGTGTGGCAGTTCACGTCTCCTTGCCCTCATATCTTGTCACGCTGCCTCTCTCACACGCCTTGTCGATGCACTGCTGGGAGGCGCGAGACTTGCCACTAGGCTCGCGTTAATCGCCAATCATCGCTGACCCCCCTCCGGTTGGCTGGCAGACGCAGAGACAACGAAAGGCGCACCCACGTGCTGGCTTTCAGCATCTCAAAGGCGGACACAGAAAACAACTTGCTTGAAGCACGCTCGCGGCGACTGTCTTTTGTGTACGCACTTTCGAAACAGTAAAGGTTATCAAACTCACTCCATCTTCTCTGACTTTTGATTGGAAATCTTTGTCTTCTCGACCACACCACTTTCGACGTACGTGGTTGCAATGCAGCGATGCTTATACATCCATAAATTTCCATCACTATATCAAATGCTTTATGTAACAAGCGCTGCGGCTCAAATGGTCTCGTTACTTGTTTCGATTATTTACGCATTGTTTGCCTGTAATATGATATAAAAATCATACTGAGCTCGACGGAGAGCACATGCGTGCGCAATATGCTTGCGTTTTGTGGAAATTAAATAGTTCATAAACGTGCACGTTTATGCCTTTCACGTGTTTTACTTATCTACTAGAAAATTCCTCACATTCATCAGTATATTGCACATAATACATTCTAGTTCACAATGATGATCGAGTACAGCCTCAGGCGATGGCTCCAACCTCCATTTCCCCGTTGTCCGCCATGTGACCAGCATCAGAGTGAGCTCATGGACAAAAACATGCATGTCACATCTAAAGCATTTAATTATATTTTCCTAAGTGGAAACTTTTAAAGAGGCCAATTTTTTGTAGCCGTTTGTTTATTATTTTATTTTTTCGGTTCCTAAGGTGAATTCCTTTGCCGCTGTACAGGCAGTGAGCATGCATTTGTCAATGGATCTCATAATGGTGGAAATGGAATCATCACCGCATATCCCGTCGACAAAACTAAATCCCCGTCGGCAGTAATTGTCCAAAAATAAGGTGAAACGTCATCTGGTAGACATCCACCTTTTTAATTAAGCATTATTTATGTCATTTGACAATACGTCGTTCTATGTTTGCATTTATGCCACCGAAGTTTAATGAAACATTTTACGTTAGGCGCGTCCTATGCGCTAGTTATCATGGCGAATTACTTAGTTCAGCATGTAGGAAACTGTCTATAGTACAGAATAATATTTATGATAACCATTAAGTATATATGCATTATATTTACCTACCTGAAACTAATCCCTCTATACTGAGAAGTATACTCTCAATGTTGAGTCAGAAATGCATAAGCGTTCGTGTTTCAGATATAGCGTGGCCTATTTCGCACTTATGTTAACTTCAGTAAGCTGGGGGATCACTTGCTCAAAGCGTAGTCATATATTGCGTGAACTGTCAATGGTATATTAATTACCACTTTGAATGGATATTGTTTGCCTGTGCATTTCGAATCCCCAATAAGCCTGGTTTTGTCGCAAACCCCTGAATTCCAGAAGGCCTTGATGGTATCCGTTCTATTCACCTACCTTAAACTTAGGGGCCATTTCAGACCTTTAAGGAGCAATTGACTGCATATATAAGCAGTGAAGAGATCTGCAAAGTCAGTATATTCCTGCCTTTAAGACGAGACGCGCAGTGTTAGTGAACACCAGTCTTATCTCAGCGACTGTGTACGCACGAGTATACTGGCATATAAGTAGTGATGTAGAAAATAGTATGGCAATCCCCTGGGGACAAAGTGTGGGAAATAACTCTTTGTTCTCAGCCTCCGTATGTATGATTTTTTTATTGGTTAACCTTTTAAAAATTCCCTTTTCTCGCAGGTTTTTATATTGGCGAGTGCATTATCAAACCTATCCAGAGTTTGCATTCTTCTAGCGCGATCGGTATGATAGTGGACAGAGCCTTATTTCTGACGTAGAGTTACAAAAATGTGGAAATTTGCAAATTTTCCTACACATGCTTCCTTACTTACGAACCTAACCTTTATGAAGTATTCCATCCGACATTAGATTACTTAAAACGGCCAGAAATAGGTGGCCCTCTCCGTCCTCTGTTTGTAAAGTATAGATGAAAGCTGGGTGACGTTGGTTCACTATATACAGGAGAGTGTTAAAATCAGGCTTTTTATGCGCTGTTGTCAAAATAGCCTCAGCATACTTAACATAGAAATGAGGGTCAGAATTAAAGGTAGCGAGCGAACGTTGCTTTTGATAACTTCTCGCCAGGCCAGTACAGTTTCGTGGGACGGAGTACAGTGAGTGAAAAATCGATAAAAATTAGTTTTTTTTAAATGCAGTCTGGGCAAGAGCGTAAGGGCGCAGCCATTTGTGTGCGGTTAGTAAACCACGTTAATCGCCGAGCCTGGACGAGTTTCTTCTGGTCGCATAGGGTCGGTTTCTTAACTTGTTGACGGCCGCTTCTGCTGTTGCTAACAGGCGTTGGCCCAGTGGCTAGGGTAACTCGAGGGTACCACATAAAGCACACGAAAGGCTTCAGAGGGGTACACACGATGCCCTGAATCCACTGCATGCGCAAGGATGGCGCTGTCTATTCTCCTACACTTACCTCTCCGGGCTTGCGAGGAGGTACTCTCGTATTCTTTTGCAGCTAACTTTTATCGGCTTTTTTTTACTCACTGTACCCCGTCCCATATAACTGTACTGGCATGGGGAGCAGTTATGGAAGGCAACATTCGGTCGCTATATTTTCTTCTGAATATAGCCATGGCGATTTCCGCAACTCTAAAATAAGGGTCATTTGTATGTGACCAGAGATTATTTTTCTCTAGTGTTCCCTTGACAGCATCAGCCAGTAGATGTACGAGTGGTGATTCCATTACTACGCCGTCGACCTGGTGGTAAAATTGACCTTCAAATGTAAACGAAGCTTTTACCATGCAGTGAAACGGCAATTTCTTCGAGATCCCGACCGGAATTGCAATCGAGAAAACCCACTGTAAAATCTCGCTACGCAAACTTTCCATCGTTTCCTTGATAGGACAGCAAGTGTTAGAAGACGCAGCTTCTAAGAAAGGGATTGTTTTACTATTGGGACTTATATGTGTAACATAATCGTTGAAATCAATTCTGTCCCATGTGCTACGTGTAGCTGTTCTGTGTTGAACCAACCTTAACCTTTCTTCCAGTCAGTTAACCATATCCGCGAGGCTTTATGTCTTGCCAAAGATTCATAAATCAGACCACCCCATACGGCCAAAAATAGACATGGATAATTCATCTAATCACACAATATAATAAAGCAGCCAGCATATGTTGAGTGTAAACAACTGGGTATTAAATGTGCAATTGCGGATTGACTTGCGTTCTTTAATCATCTGTAGTCTTGCAGGCACAGCGTTCCTTCATATTTAAATTTTAAACGTGTACTGTTTCCCTTTTGCTGTCTACAGGTAAAGCAAGTCGGTGAGTAAGAAAACCCATTTGCCACCTCCTCACTTGCCGTACGGACAATACATGGTGCTGCATATGTTCTGTTT